CACGCGACGTCACATGCTGGCGCTTCAAATAGCGAGCACCGTAGACCCAACCTCGTTTCCAGGGTGTGGAGCAGGCTGCAGTACGCGTTGCCATGGACAGTTTTGCATAGCCCGGAAATACTACGCAGTGTAGACTTTCGATTGGTCAGACCGCGCAAGGCATACTTAATGTGTAGTCCTTCTGAGTATTCGTTGCACTCGGCGCAGGGGCGGCAAGCGAAGCATACGAAAGAATAGGGGCACTTGGTGGCCAGGCACCATGGAGAAAAAATATTTTACCAAGGTCACACCAACCACCATTTGGTGAACGCTTTTGCAGAACGGCCGAGTAGAACACGTAAACGGAACCCCTACGTCGAAGCCGCTGACCTCGCACAGTCTAGACACGCAGAAAAGCCAGCACAGGGGGCGGCCAGGCAGTCAACGTGAAAGCGCACACGACGGCAAATTCCTGCGCAAAATGCAGTCACGAAAAATAGACGAAAAGGATCGCCGGTCCGTACGGGAAAATCAGGACGACCCGAAGTGTCCGACCCGGCGGAAGACACCCTCCGTATTTTTCCACGGACGTGGAGCGATTTCGGCGCAGCGGGAGCCCGCGGTCTCGGATCCTTTCATGAGCAAACATCGTCTCGGAGGCCGAGTTAAACTCTCTCTTATATATATAGATATCTTTGGATGAGGTTTTCCTTTCACGTTTTTAAAATTGTAACTTCAATATACATGTATAATACCTAGTGGTCATAATACCACAACCCCTCAGTTACCTTTTACGACCGCCAAAAGTATATCTTTGTAATTTTTCACCAACTTCGGATCGGGCTGGGACACAAACCAGCCTTTAACATCCTCAAGTGTAATCAGTCTTCGCTCGTCATCGTTCATAGGCCCTATCTTCATGTAGTGTTTGCCTGGATGTATTAAAAAAAACATATACATTGTATGTCACATTAACACTGCAGCGGTGGAATTTATTTTTCATCTTTACTTAGAAGAAGTTGCAGATATTCCCACACGTCAAACGGAGTGCTTACGTGGTTTAATTCTTTTGTTTTAAGAGCTACTTAAAAGGAGGCTTTCATTTAATACTTGATCTTATTTCAAAAATAAGAAACTGGAACCCTCGACTCTGGAAGACTTGTTTTACTTTTAATCTGAGTTTCCTTGTAGTTTTTTTTCAGTGATGACTGTTTCTTTTTTCTTTGAACTGGTTTTTAGTCAGAAACGCTGTTTGCTGCTACCATATGTGCAATAAAGCTAAGGTGGTTTCGACATCTTGGGTAATATAAAATAATTTAAGGTAAATGACCTTTGACCTTACCATCTGGGTACTTTATTGGAGGAAGTATATAACAATCCCACTCGGGGTCACCGTGGGAAGCCATAGTAGGCATGGTGCGAAACTTTTCCAAATCCCCTTCCCCAACTTCCAGTTTAACTGTGAATGTCCCATGGATTTCCAAGTCCAGCTTTGTTGAGGACGGTAAAAGATTCTTGAGCTGTGTGAAAGCACCTGTGCATAGCAACACCTTCTTGGCCAGTAGGGGGCGCCCTTTCTCCATCACAACCCTCATCAATGGTTCGCCGTGAGTGTGGTCCCCCGACTCCCCCACCGACTCAACCACGTCATCGATTATATCACAGCCTTGGAGGACGGCTGCCTTTTGCTGTGCACGGACGATCATTCGAGGGTTGGCGTGACCGGCGTCAACTGGTAACAACATGGCGGTGTCGCCATATCGGCTGGTGTCCAAGAATGGATACCTTTCACATACGCCCTCTGCCGTCAAAAGAAGACATTCTGTCTTAGCAGATAGCACCATAATGTTGCGTATATCCTTGCCAAACAACATGAAACCCGCCTTTGTGTTGAGTTTGACACCTGAAAACACACAACCAGGTCACACATTATTTACTATTTAGGCCTATGTACATGTAGTTGTTTCAAAGTTGTAGGCATATTAGACGTAATAGATGATTCTACACTACATTGCTGTGCTTGTCATGAATTTTTTGCTCCGAGATATTATAGGCAATTTTAGTTGTACTAATTTTACAAAGAGGGCGTTGTAGTGCATGGGTAAAAGAGCTCTCAATCGTCGGAACTTTCGTATAGCTTCAAACGGCAATTGGACTTCATGATCGTTTTTTTTTTTTTTACTTCTTGATCTTTAGGTCTATCAAATCCTCATCTGAATACATTTTGGAAAATGTTCCCATGGTTACATTGATAAAATTAAGTTTTGATGGAGACGACAAGAGTTGAATTGAAGGAGGCACGCTTTACCTGTAGTAGCTTCCAATTGAAGAAGGCTTTGGAACGTTTTTGTTGTCAACGAGCCTCTGGTGTGATGATATCCGTGGTATTTGCGCACATTTCGCCCGGCGTCGTAGTGAGAGGCGAAAATATCAGGGCGGTCCTAGTGAACACGGAACGAAATGTAGTGTTAAAAAAAATATCCAACGGTGTCTGTATGATGTCTGTCGTCTGTGTGTCAGTGGCGGTCACACAACCGGAAGTGTTGTGCGTGCAGTGACGTAACCAGAGGGGGGGGCCAGAGGGGGAAACTTGCCCCCCCCCCGGCGGATTTTTAAAAATAATCTTTTTCAGTAAGTATTTCCACAAATGGTTACAGAGTTTTTACATCAACCCAAACCTTGCAAACCGGCTCAAAAAATATTACATATATTGCACAACCATTAGCATATTATTTTCCAGTGTGCACAATAATGGCCAGTTTTGAAGAGCGCCCCAATTTGGAAGATAGGTACCAGCCCCCCCCCCCCCCTCCCCCCACGGAGGCCAATTGTCCAGAGAAAAAAGAACCATTTGTTTACATTTCGGGGGCCCCCGACATCAAAAGCGGGATACGCTACTGGTGTGAAGTCACACATGATGTCTGATATAAGATTCATGTACGCTACTGAGGCGCATGCACATAATGTTGGATGCATAACTATGCAGTGCTCAAGTGATCTATGTTGTGCTGGTGCAGCACCTTTTAAATCACAGTTTGGGACGTGAATAAATAATGTATTCCTTTTGTTTTGCCTGTTTGGCAAATTTGTTTTTTTACATCACTTTCAATACTTCTAGGAAAACGAAGAAATCCGCGGATACGCGAAAAAGTTTCCTGCTTCATTTCAATACTTTTGACTCGCAAGCGGGCTATTTCGAGAATGGTAGTGACAAGCCCGCCGCTATAGGGTCGAACCTGGATCTAAACACCTTTGATTGCGTAATGTATATAGCTCAGGCGCGGTTCTAGAACCAATATTTGGGGGGGGGGGCTAGCACGGTGGATCCAGAATTTTTTCAGGGAGGCGTGCTGAAATGTAGACCGGCTATTTGTTCCAGACACTTAGGCCTCCGAAAATCAATAGGTGGGGGGGGGGGGGGGGGGGGCGGGCGGGCTCATGCCATATTTTTAATGGAGAGCACCAATAATATCCTAAAAACATTCACACTATTTTAACTAATGCACCCTCGTCACGGCTATTTCTTCTTTAGGGGGAGACCGTTCGCATGTACATCACATTCCTTCTTTTTGCTAATGCATTTTTTTTCACGGAATTTAGTTTTGGGGGGGTTAGACAAAATTTTGGGGGGCTACAGCCCCCCTAGCCCCCCCCCCCCCCCCCCCCGTAGAACCGCGCCTGATATAGCTATAGCTAATAATATTCACCTTTTCCTGTGGTTCACTGGGTCCTATAAGACACACCTTGCGACCAGGCAACGAGGCGTGTCTGGCCGCTGACGAACCCCATAATCCGGCCCCGACGATACAAACATCGTACATCATGTTCAGTTCCACAGGCAAATGTCGCCTACCCGTACCGAGTGTTGAACGTGAACATTTATGCAGATCAGTTCCAGTCATAGCTCTATGGTTCCTGTGTAGTCACAGGCTACTGCTTGTTAGTTTAATCGTGAACTTTGATCTCGAGCGAAACATTCAGTTCAAAAGGGGCGTTGATGTGCATGCATGCAGTAGTATAATTGTTGTCGACGCGACCTTAGCATTGCAATCATAATGAAGCCAGGGAAGGGACAGGGTGGAATTTTTTTTTGGAATTTCCTAATTCGTTCGCACGAATTCGTAATTCGTTCGCACGAATTGCTATTTCGTTCGCTGGGAACGAATTAGTAATTCGTGGGAACGAAAATTCGTGGGAACGAATTAGTAACTCGTGCGAACGAATTAGTAATTCTTGCGAACGAATTAGTAATTCGTGCGAACGAAATAGTAATTAGTGGGAACGAAATAGTAATTCGTGGGAACGAATTAGTAATTCGTGGGAACGAATTAGGAATTCGTGCGAACGAATTAGCAAACTCCCAAAAAAAATTCTACCCTGTCCCTTCCCGGGCTTCATACAAAACACCACAACTGACAGTATAATTCAAATTATTAAAATCTAGGTTTTCCGTTCAACAACATATAAACACTGTATACTCAGTATTTAAGGCCCCGCCCTGCTCTTCATTTGTGTATCAAATTTGATTCCTTTAAAGGAGCAATAATACATTGTAATAAGGTCATTTTCATTTTGACTCACCTGCATATTATAACATGACCTACATAACGTATTTTAACGCAGTCCTCAAAACGCACCTTTGTGTCCCATTTCAGTTTATTTTCAACTATAATTTTGCTATATAAAAGCTAATGCTAACGGTTTCCACATTCATGAGCAAAAGTGCGATATCATTTAAGACAGAAACATTAATGTTACAGCTATTTCAGCACCAAAGATTGCCAGAATTTTTGATATTTTGTTGTAAATTGTCTTGTCTTTGTTGATCCGTTGTCGTTTCAGTACATGACAATATATATATTTAGATATTTAAGTTGTAAATTTTATTGGACTCTTATCAAAAGCAACGATAAAGGTCACGAACCTTTCAAACTATGCCCAGGGTAGCCAGGTTATTAGATAACCGCCTGTACGGTCATGCGCAGCAGAGTAAGTCATGATCTCATAAAAACAAAACAGCGCTCACATTTTTAGAAGTGCGTAGGGCGCTACTGAAATCCAGTCGTTCTGCAGCACACCTTCACAGTGATTTGATAGTTGCTACAACCATGACGTGTCCACGGTTTCTCGTCGCAGTCATCGTCCTTTTGGTGACAGCAGTCGCTCAGGTGTGCTTAAATATCGCGCGTTTGGTGTATTTTTATAACGCCGTTCTACGCTTACAGAACGTCAACTCCAATATCTTCGTCTGAAGAAAGACTTAACTTCAAGAACGGATTTCAAGGATGTTTCAAATCACGCATTGAAAATACATTGTTCTTCTCACTGTGTTGTCATCTATAGCAGTTAGCAGACTCGTAAGTTCACAGACTTAATTGTGGTATTTTCATGAATTTGCTTTTGTTTTGTTTTCTGGGTAGGTTGGTGCTCAAGCAGACGCGACTTGCACCGGTATTAGCAAAGATGTATCTTGTAAGAAGGTAAGAGTCTCATCTTTGGGTCTTGTACCGTGGCCGATTCGCCTGTATTGATGGTTATGGCTTCGTTATTTATTATATATCGACATGCTAATCCGTTTGTCTTCTACACAATGTATATTAAAATGTTCGATCTGACAGTGGCTCGGAATCAGTTCAATATAAAGCGATAAGTCGGACAAAATCCAAAGCTAATGTTAAAACAGACCTACTCATTTTAGATGATTTTGTAATACTGCAACTTGAGGGGCGTCATGCTTTATATATGAATATATGTATAGGTTTATTGCCCGTAGTAATTTATCAAAAAAGTTATCAGCAATAGAACTTATAAAAGACAGTAAAACCCAAAGATTAAGGGTATTTTCACAACTCATCCACTCGTCATTTCCACAACGCACAGGTATAGCCAGTAACGTGAACACTTTAAAAAAGTTATCTGCCTTTAATCAAGTTCGAACACGTTCGTATCGCGACCTTTGGCCATTCGCAGTTATGCCCGGACATACCAGATACCACCAATATATCAATAAAAAGCCCGAAACACAACTTTAAAAAATGAAACTGCCCTTACCCCTTTTCAAGAATGTGTTTTCAGGTTGTTTCAGACCAAATCGAGCAGTTTTAATTTGTCGCATTTTTTTGAGAAAAAACCTGAATTCGGGTTAAAACCTGAAAAGTGACATCTCTTGTACATGCCAGGTATTCGTTTATTCCCCCAACCCCCCGACCAAGCCAGTCCAACCCAACCCCACCCAACCAACCCAACCCAAGCAAGTGTGTATTTGCTTGCAATCGGGGACCCCCTATTGTCCCTCTTTTGTTTTTACTAACTTTTTAGGAAGACCTCCTTATATGTTTCGTACACGAATCCAAATTGGGGACCTTTGGGAATTGGGGACCCCATTGTCCTCTTTCGTTCAACGTCCCCTATTGAATGATGAAACCAACTCAATCCAACCCCACCCAATGATAGTTGCCTATGACAGTGATGTTATTATTCCGCGTGTATGTTTTTATGCTTTTTTCTCTGTGTATAATGTTTGTTTTGTGATGTCAAGTTGCCTTTATTGTTTTTCACAATATACCTTCAATTAAACAAAATGCTAATTAAATTCCCACAATTCTTGAATACAGTGCAGAGACAATACACACAAATGCATGCCGGGTGAGGTGCCTGTCGATGATTGGCTGATAGCAACAGCGAAACAGCAACGAGAGTTACAGGTGAGATTTGATTGAATTGTTGCCAAGCATTGAAGAGCAACTAAACGTTACTAGGGGCACACACCTTTTAATGTAGTTACTTGGGAATGACTATGTCTGGAAATGTTTGGAATACATTTTTGTATGCGCCATATAGTCACAATTCCCAATACCTATGCGTGTTCTATCACGTTTGTTTATGGTGTCAATCGAGGATTTTCTTTTGTTCCTCTTCCCTTTTCCCTTGTTTGTACTTTTCGCAACAGCTCCCCTCTCTCTCCCCCTCTCTCTCTCATTGGTTTTGTACACGTTTTCTAATGAGGTCGTCCTCAATTTGGTTCCTGTCCTCGATTCACTGATGATGTTGACGTGTGTATCCTCGATTTACACCATAAACAAACTCTGTTCATCAGGCGTAAAAGCAAACCTTCGGAAACCGGCAAGTTGAAAAAAAAAGGAATTGCCGGTGGTGAAAGCTAAACTAATTTGTTTAAAGTAAAGATTTCCACTTGATCAGCACTACGATTCTTTTTTTCAGTCTGATTCCAGCTCCCTTTAACTAAATCGGCGATTGTCCAATATTTCGCCATTATTAATTGAAACATTAATGATAGGCCTATCCAACTCGAGAAGACAATGGATGCTCAGTTTTACTCTACAAGCCGATTGTGTCGCTTGTTTTAATTTGTATTCTGAAATTCACCCTACCAAACATCCAACAAGTTTGTTTGCATTTTGCCTTTGCCCTGTAACAATGGTTTGATATGAATACTTCGTCGATAAGGTGACATTCTTATCTTGGCACTTAGTAGACCTACAAATAACACACAGGTCCACATGTACCAGGAGATAATATCGTCTCTTATCTAAAACGCATATACTTGACAACGTGATTTGAAACAAAATAAATCACCCAAATTTGTCTATACAATATAATTTAAGCCCAGTTTAAGGTCATACTCTTTTTATGTCATAATTTAACTGGGTTTCAATTATATACCACACTTCCAATAATAGATGCCACCTTGGATTACATTTCGCTGCATGTAAAACCGTGGGAACCTGAAAAGTCAATAGTCGTTTCAGAATAGACTTGAGGATTGGACTGTTTTAGATCCTAACCAAAAGACTGTATATTGTCAAGTGTTCTCCAACAGCCTTCTCGATTTTTTCCAATGAAACTGTTCGGTCGCAATCCTAGTTTTCTAGTCAGTTGTAGTTTACGTACTCATCATTCGAAGAATAAATCCCGTACTTTATTGGTCGGCAATTTGATTTTGATCAATGTACCTGTTTTTGATTTGTTGGATGGTGTGCGTTTTTTTCATCCAACAGATTGACGAACCTTGGAATCGATTGCAAATGCTCGATGTGAGTCCGTATAATTTGTCCGTGAAATTTATATAACTATGGTTGATATGATGTCGTAGCCTGTATGGAAAACGATAATGGCACATCATTTTCATACAGTTTGATTCTTTACAAGCAGGACGATGGAGTACCGAACTTTATTGTCCTGATATATAGTACACTGATTTAAAGACAAATTTCAACCCATATATAAACTTCAGATACATAGCCTAAACACGTTACAGTAACTCTACATACGACTTGATGTTTGCACGGTGTAAAGTCAATACATGAGGTTTCCGATAGCACCGTCGTGCAGGCAAATTTCTCGTTTTGACATTGTTTTATTCTTAAAAGAACTGATTTAGTAACTCGACGTTTCAAAAGTGTGGTCTGACATATATATGTTTTTATATTTACTGCTGTTTATTCCACCTGAACTCAAACGGCATTGGAAAGACACGTCACACTGGAGTGGAGAAGAAGAATAACCACGGCCCACTATCTTGACAATTTGTCTTTGGTATCACATTTCATTTCACAGGCACACAATGGGTACAACACCAGAGCATGGGGATATGGAGGTAGGTTCCTCCGTTCCTGACCCAAATGTCACCTGAAAATATCCATTTTTTTATCTATAACAAGATTAAAAGTGTATAAATAATTAGTCACAAAATTTCCTCGTCGTTTCTTTATTTGAGTAACAAGTGACCACTGACGTTGCCCCTTAAGTGACATCAGTCGATATTATTGCGACCAACGCGGGCAAGAGTTAAGAAATAACTGTATATTCCAGATCTCGGTTGCATACACTGGTCTACCGATTATATCTGGCAAATATCACACTACATACCGTAGAAATTACACCGTTAAAGTAGAACCTAATGCCTTATAGATTTAACCATATACTTCTTTTCCCATTTTGTTTATCATTGGATCCTGGAAGTCAATGACACATGTCCATGGTCGCCTCCAAATCCTTACCCAATGGACTGCAACAATTACGCCAACCAGGAGTTCAGCTTCACGGACCTACTGAACATGGGTGTCAGGGCAGTGGAGATTGACAACTGGTTTTGCTTTAACGAGGTAAAAGAAGTCTACTGTTATCATTTCCGACTGAATTTCAGATTCATTCCAATTCCTTCGAATTTTTTTTTAAGTTAGGAGGCGAATCTGAAAACAGACGAAGCCAAGATTTCTACAACGCGTATAAGGTTGGTCAGGCTATAAATTCTCGACTCGAGTCCCTATTGGGTAAATGACTCGATCGACTCGACTCAAGTCACTGTAACTCAACTAGGAGCTATACAGCAATAAGACTCGTGTCCTAAAATAAAAGAAAAACTTTGCATAAGATATTAGCAATGACTCACGGTGCAAATATTATGTCACGCCACTTTGCGAATACAGCACGGTACTGTACAGCAGCCGCTTGACATGTACAAACATACATGCAATTATACAACTTGTTTATTCGATATATTGTGTTCAAATATTAGTGAATCGAATTCTCTCAAGCTAAATATTTGGCTCGACTCGACCTTCTTGACCGAGTGACTGGACTCGACTCGAGTCACTTCATTAAAATGATTCGACTCGACTCGAGTCACAAAAATCAGTGACCCGTCACAACTCTGGCCTTTGCAGACGATTGGTGGTAGCAAACATGATCAGTCTGTTCAAGGTCCCACTGGTATACACTACTCATCAAATCAGAAAGCCAATAATAAATCAATCTAAAACTATAAATAGACCTCGTACTCCTTAAATTAGTTTCATATTTGGCCTTCAGAAATATTCTGCTGTTTGGGTCGAAAAGTCAGGCAATCCTATTTTACGATCTATATTTCAAATTGCTCGACTCACCAAATGGTTCGCAGTAACGTAACCATCTTTTTTTTATGAAATCTATGAGATTTTAAGCGTGGCAAGAATGACACTTTAGCGGCGTTTCGAGCTCTTGGCTTCTTCGAATTTGAACTCCTTCCTGTCACGAAAGATGTTTAATTTAGAGACCTTCATTGTATGTGCAAAGCAATTAAGAAGAAATAGCGTCAACTTTGGGCTCGGATATTTCCTGAGGATGAGAACTGACCCGAATTGACACGTATTAAAATGTATATTAAAGTACTGACAAGTATAAAGTATTGACAAGTATAAAGACGTCTGTTTATCATTATCTTCACAATGTCGACTGTTACACACAACTATTTGCAGATGCGCATGGCACACTTGGGCAGTACGATCGATCTTGAGTGCAGTGTGTATGATAGGCTTTTCTCAGACGGAATCAAGGAGATCGCTGATTGGATAAATCTCCCTGGTAACGGGGAGGAGATGGTTAAGATCTACATGAACGTAAGTCCTTAGGCAACTGCCCGTGTATCAGGATTAGATTATCAAGATTTCGGAAGTTTTGACCATGCTCATTTGAGACTAAACTTTTCGCTGTAACTGCATGCGTGCCGAACCAAAGGAGTTGTAGCTACGACCTGATTCTTGTTCTGGAGTGGGCTTTGTACACAATGTCTTTGAGTGCTTTTTTATAAACAGTATATTTTTGAATTTCATATCTTGTGTGAAGTATTGCTTTCCCTTGTTTTAGTTGCATGCAATGTGAATTTCCTAATTGATTAGAGTTATTGTTTATATGTCTTTGCCCATTACAACTGCACGTTGAAACATGCTGACGAAAGACGTCTCCGTAGATATGGACGTCCTTTTCGAACTTGGTTATACTTTGTGCAATTCTAGACAGGGAAAAGAGGACTAGAACGACAATTCTCACGTTTTCCTATCTCTTTTAACGATTATTACAGGAGAAGTTTGATCAAGGTAATGACGACTCGGTCAACAATCCTCTGAGAGACTACATGGGAGAACGCATACTGACCCCGGCAGACCTGAAGAATACGTACGGTGGACAGTGGCCCACGCCTAGGCAGATGAGAAAGGTACAAAATATACTCGCACTACACCCTCGGTATAGGCTAGTCCGCAATGTATTCTGTGCGAGTGGGCCAACCCTTAAGATATAGTGCCGAAACTCTGACGCACCTCACAATATTTTGAGGTTTTCAGGCATATTACTTTGGCTACTTTGGATGAAAAGCCTTTTGGGTTTTTTTCAGTCAGTTTTTGGTTTTAGTACCAGTTCATGCCTCACACGAATGCATAGAGAATATGACTTAACGACGATTTCGCGTCAAACATCGGCGGAGTTGAAATGTATTCATCAGATTGTGCGCAATGGCAGCGCGAAACTATGACGTGAAGTCATTTATTCAAGACCGTGTATGTTTTCGTTTTTGCACCGAGTTCAAAGCACAATTCTTTGCAGGGCATGAAAGAGCTATCGATGTGCATGACATTTTTGTTCGTGGAGTACGTGACCATTTTGTTTTGTTCAACAGGCCGGAAAGAACGTAGTGATTGCAACAGGCAGTACTGCAGGAAGCGGCGAAGTTTACCCACATGGGGGCGTGTACATCCACAAGATATACTGGGAGGACTTGCAGATGAGATATGTAAGGTACCAATTTTTGAGCCATTAAATATTTGTACTTAATGGCTACTATTATATAAACTTGTGGTGGGGAAGCATTCGCCTCTATAAGGTTAGGTCTAAAGCTATTTTCAAATGAACTACAAAGGAAAACAATTCTGTGATATTTACATTACACTTGGATTATGTTGTGTGTGTCCTCTTTAATGGGAATCTTTTTGTAAAAAAGTAAAACTGCTGCAAACTGCTTACTGACTGGATGGACCTGAAATATATAAATCTAAAATTAATGAGGCCTGACGTTGCGAACTTAGCAAGTTCTTCTTCAGAGGCTAAAACAGAAATGACAGAGGTACATACATTAACATGGGGGTGCACACAAACATGCAGGGCTGAAAGAAGAAACACAAAAGGAGGATTAAGTGGGAAAGGTGTAGAAAGATGCAGGGGAGGGTGGATGAGAGAACAAAGAAACAAAGGGAGATGGCAAACCACAAGGGGTCTGGTGTGAACAGGGGAGGGACCAGAAAGGGGAAGGATCAAAGGTCACAGGGAGTGGGAACGGACAAAAGAGTGTGAGAGTGAAGGGATGATGCGGGGGGGGGGAACAGTAAGGAGGTGGAAAGGGATGAAAAGATGGGGGAAGATGGGTAAACACAAACAAGGAAGACCAGATGGATTATCTGTAACAGAAGACAATGGAGGAAAAAAAGGATTAATCATTTCCAAGTTCGATGTTGAGACCATGTGATTGAATAGTTCGAAGACGATTCATCCACACTTTCTCTCTGCTGAGGCGAACTGAGTCCTTGCGATGGCCAAGAGATTCAATGCCCTGCAAAATCATATCAGAAATGGAGTGGTTAGGCAGGTTGAAGTGATGACACAGGGGTGTCTAGTTTCTTGGTGTTGACCGTTGACCGGTGGGCATAGAAACGCTCTTGAGCGTATTCTTAGTCTCACCTACATACTGCACTCCACAGACCCTGCAAGAAATGAGATATATGACATTAGAGGTGTTACAAGTGATGTTACCAATGGTTCTGTGGGTAGTGACAGAAGAGTGGCCAGAAAAGGAGTCAGACTCCTTGATATGAATCTGGCAGACAACACATCTGGAACTGCACTTGAAAGACCATGCTGGGTGGGAGGGGATGCATCTAAGGATGGGACTTCAGCTCGAACAATCAAGTCCCGTAGATTTCGAGGACGCCTGTAAGCCAATGTGGGG